TCTCTCATCTAAAAGACAACACCTACTGTAACAACTAAAGTAGGTATTTATGTGTATATTAAACCCACAGAGGTTACGCACAGCCTCTACCATTACACTTCTGCCCTCCCCCGCGTTCTGCCTTCTTCAGGCGGTGGTGTTGTGCAGTAAAAAGCGCTTTCAATTCACGGAGCAGGGCGACGCCCTCGAATTTCTCTCCTGGCTCCTCAACGCACTGGACCTCTCCTTGAAACCACTCGGTGAGCAGCAGTCTGCACCTGGAGCTACAAAGAAACTACCTGCCAGGCCAACTATTGTCAGCCAAACCCTTCGCGGCAGAATGCTGATCCACAGCAAAAAGGTCATGCCCGTGGACCTGACCCCTGCCCAGCAGGAGGCTCTCTCCACCGACCCCGAATACATGGTAAGCCTGTCGCGCGCAACGGTATCGTTCGATATTGCTATTTTTTGTTCATATCCATACCATTAGAGCAAGGCACGGGCGAATTGCTTATGCGCCGGATGTTCTCGTAGCTGTCTAGCTCGACTTTATAGACCTTTGTTTAGAAACCAACCTTTCTTTCGACCAAGGACGAGGAACTCCAATGGAATCACCAATTTCTGTCTTTCTTACCCCTGTGACAACTAGAATCTACGGCTCTTCAATTAGTTTATTGTAACTACGACATGCAGACGACACATGAACACGTTCAACAGCACCATCGACCAGACTATTTCGGGAAATAAGCGCGCAACAAATTGTTATTGCTGGATGTCCTTGCACCGCGAAAGACTGACAGAACATTACACGCACCCTTCTACCCTTCTACGGAAGTAGTTGTGTGCTATGAGGGCAGCATTATCATCTCTCGCAAGTGGAGGTAACACCGTCTACATCTATTGAAAACGCATTGCGCTGAAAAAGAAAGCTACGGACTTGAAATAAATAAATTTTAGGAATTAGTTTCTCTATACATTATGTGAGTCGATGCATGGAAAGCTAAAAGACAAGGAACTGGATAGCTCGGATCATGTGCCCAGAACGAAAACTTGCTGAATCCCTCCTGAACTCGCAGGAAAGATACTTGAGGCATCACCAAATAAAAGTAATGCAAAAAACCGGTGATTACCTTAATAAGCTTTTATACCCCAATGGTTTAGGGTAAGTTATCTTGATAAGTAGGAAGTCTTCTGTAATTTACCATGCGATGCCGTCTATTGTAGCCAGACAGGAACATCCGCCTCTATACGAAGATCCAGTTACGGTTACGAAGTGTGTTCAGAGGTGGTCATGCATACCCTAGATACCGGCCGCCATGGCGGCAACAGTAAAGTCGATCAGCAACCTTAGATATTATTTAGGAGTTTTGGCAGATTTGCAGATTAGGGCGGGTAAAATCGACTGTGATTAAATTCATGGCGCGAGGTCTGGCGTTTGTAGCTCGTGGTTAGAGCGTTGGCTTCGCGTAAAGGCCTCCTTTACTATGCGGGTTCAAAGCCCGACGAACGCCGCGAGTTTTTTCACAATTGAGTCGAGTAAAATTAAGCAAATCTGCTAAACCTCCTATGTAATTAAGTCAACCTAGTAGTCATTCTGTTGGATTCTAGATGATTGCCTAGGAAATCCTGCTTGGGCAGCCAGCTTGCTGTTCCGTATTGGTAGATTTCATACGAGCAGTAAAATTGGGCGGGTAAAATCAACACAAGTGTGATTAAATTCATGGCGCGAGATGTGGCCTTTGTAGCCCAAGTGGTTAGAGCCTCGGCTTCGCGTAAAGGCCTGCTCTACTATGTGGGTTCAAGTCCCGTCTAACGCCCCGAGTTTTTTCACAATTGGGTCAACTAAAATCTCTAGCCCCGGGATTATCTCTTACAGGACCGGTTTTATGGGTGGGTCATATCAGAAGTAATAAAAAAACAAATTGAAAAACAGAGCCTATAGCGCGATAATTAAAATGAGAAATATAGCCTTTAACTTTTTTGCATTTTCACTACTTTTTATGCATTCTTATACCGTTTCAATGGGGTTGTTAAGGGCTTCTGTCTCTTTCTCTCAATGTACTGACTGACTGACGTGGTTTTGTGGCCAAGCTACTGTACAGGAAAATATCGATTTATCTCCCCTGCGCAGGCACGAATTGAGGAATCACGTTTTCTCTATCTCACTTGTGATTTGCCACCGCCTCCACTCTACCTCGACGAGTTCAAGGAGAACATAATTCCGCAGGTACCTTTGGCCACTCTGCTCACAAAGTTCAATGGAGTGGCTGAGAAAGAATACAAAACCCACTGTGACTCAACAATGCGCCGTTTCTGCCTTCGACGCCTGCCGCCCTACCTCATCCTCTGCATGAAACGCATGGTGAAGAATATTTTCACTCTGGAAAAGAACCCCACCATTGTCAACTTCCCCATCAAGGGTATTGATTTTAGTGAACTGCTGGAGCCCGATGTTCGAAGCCAGCACAAGTAAGTGCCACAGTGCACAAAATCCTTCCTACTGAAATAATAAAAGTAGCAGAAATATCTAAAAATGCACTCGTGCTGCCCTACTGTCTCCTTCAGGTACACAACCTACGATATGGTGGCCAATGTAGTTCACGATGGTCCACCGACACCCGGCGAGGGCAGTCACAGAATCCATGTCCTCCACCGAGGCACCGGGAAGTGGTTCGAGATGCAGGACCTCCACGTCACAGAGGTGTTGCCTCAGATGATTCCCCTAAGCGAGTCTCTGATTCAGGTAATTTTCAAAGTGTGTTTTTTTGTAATTATTGATTGATTTCCCGGAACTCTTAAACAGTGATAGGTTTGCGGGCTTGCGCATCTGACGAAGGCACTGTTGTGAAGCTGACACTTCTGAGCCTCGTTGCTAGATTATAACTAACCAGCAGTAGCAGCAGTGCAGTACGGCCTAGACTTCGTGTAACATGCCGACATATGCGAAAGATTGATACTCCTTCGCTAATCTGCATTCAGTAAAGTTGTAATACTGATTATCGTGTAGCCTATTCTGAAGTCGTTTCAGCCACGATAGGATGCCGCGTTTTTAACGAGCTTCCTTCTGGCCGCTAACAAAACGTATGTACTGTAAAAAGTGGCTACTTAAGTAGTATGCATTTCTATTATTGATTTTGACTGCTCTTATAAATTCAATTATATTTTTTGGAAAAATAAGCAAATAATTAGTTTTTGTACTCGTCTGGTAGCAAATTACGCCTTCTTTAAATTTTATACTTGAATCAAGGGAGTGCTTCGGTTTTAGAAAAATTTCTAATTATGAGATTCTTACGATTGCAAGGTGTTTATTCATAATACATCGAACCCGTCAATTTATTAATGCTGTCTATACTGTATACAGCGTGTTCCAAATCTGTTGAAATATTTTCTGAAAACTATCTGACTTCCTCAAATTGTAGGCGAAAACGTACCTTTCCTTAAACAGGATGTATACAGCGCACAGTTTGTAAACCTTGAATTCGAGTGTAGCAGTCACTAGGTTAGAAAATTATTCGTCAATCTAGAATTTTTTTAAACTGAAAGGTACCCTTTCTTTAAGTATGAAATTTAAAGTATGCGTAATTTGCTATCAAACGAGTGCAAGAAATACTTTTTTCGTATATGCTTTCCATAAAGTATATTTGAATTTGTAAAGGCAGTCAAAACCAATAATAAAATTGCATATTATCCTAGTAGCCACTTTTTACATTACATGGGTTTTGTTAGTAGTCAGAAAGAAGCTCGTTAAAAATCCGGCATTCTATCTTGACTGAAATAACTTCAGAATAGACTACACCGATAATCAGCATTACAACTTTATTCAATACCGATTGACGAGGGAGTATCAGTCTTTCGCATATGCCGGCATGTTACACGAATTCTGGGTCCTACTGTGTTATTGGTCGTTGACAGTAGAGAAGAGAGCAGACCGGCTGCCCTGTGACAACTTTTTGACCATTAATGACGTTAGCTCAACACTGTGTATACTAGCGGGAAATATTTTTGCCGTTATCAAAGCTAATTACTGCTTCACCCGTGAACTTTCACTGACATTCGATATGCGGCTAATTTTTTGAAAAAAAAACATATCCTTAATGCTGAGTTGTTGAGCTGTGAAATATAGATTCCTTTACGCATATGAACTTTTGACATGAGTTGCACCTGGCCGTTGACTAACCGACCTTGCCAGCGCAGGAACACAATAACTTGGCAAATTTAGTGTCCTCAAAGGAGAAAAAGGTGGCTATATCAGGCGGCCGAGGCGCCTAAGTACTTGAACTTTACCGGGTTTCCTTCATGACATTCTAGTCAAATGACTTGAACTAACCGTGAGTTAATGAGGCTGTTGTAATTACAGTATAGCTACCAAGGTAACAGTCTGAGAATTTGTAAAAATCCAGTGTCTGTGCGCTGTTCCTTCTGTCTTCGTTACGAAGTTGTTTTCAATTTATTCCTTCGCAGGAATCATGGCTTTAGGCACATAGTATTACCGGCAAAGACAAGGGAGACTGGAATGACCATTTCTGGCTTATTAGCTGTCATCAGCCAGTCATGTCCAAACCCAAGTGGCGTCCCACCCGAGCTTCGAACTCGCGACCTCTCT